TTTTATGATGCAGAATTTTATGCTGTTGATATTTAATTTTTCTATGTAGTTCTACACCTATAATTTTGTCTATTTTCTTCTCTACACGCTACAATACAACTATTTTATTTTTAAAAGGATTATGGGGTTACACCAACCAAAAAACAGTGTTTTAGAGCAACCTTACTGTGCTGGTCAATGTTTAAAATAAAAAAATAAAAAAATTCTATAAAATAAAGCATAAATGTTCCTCTACTCCAGCGTCAAGGCCACGTTTTCCCCTCAAACTGATCCACATCCGCTAACATCACTCTCTTGAAAAAACCTTAGTATATGTGTCTATTGTCAGTCAAAATTATTTTGTTACCCTTTACTAATTGTATCCTTTGCCATTACCTCATTGTCCCCATGCATCATGTAATTGTGGGTCCTATCCCACCATCCTACTTTTGGTATTTTTATAAGTAAAATGCATTTTGTTTTACAATTTTGGGTAGATTTTCAGAAACGTTCAGAGGAGACCAAATTGTGTCAAATATATAGTTTGTGCAAAAAAAGGAAAAGACTTTGAGGGTCAAAGTAGGAAGCCCCTCAGTTAGACTCTATATACATAAAACATAACTTTTAATAATAGTAATAAAATACTCATCAAGAAAAAACACAAACAAAATATGGTTAAAAAGAGACTAGATAGGTAAATAAAGGAAATAATAATATCTCCTGATTGGGATATATACCCTAATAAGAAGGTCACTGGAATGAATCTAATCTGTTTTACCTTTACCCCCTTTATTGAGAAATGAGATCACTAAGGAGTATTTGTATTCTAGTTAATACAATTATATTTTTAACATATGTACATAATATTTATAGAGACTGTAAATATTTTCTTTACTCATTATTTATTATTTATCAATTAATTTGCTATACAGAGGCTTAAGCTTTATCAGTGGTTGACAAAACAAATCATATGAGCCTTATTCTAACCAATGTGACAATGAATTAATTATAGCTCCTTGTAACCCATACACTTTTGGGCTATTTTGCCCTGATAAAAGAAGTGCCTTGAGGAATGTTTTGGCTCCTTTAATATTTGGATGGGGGTTAATCAGGTCCTCTCTGGATTCTTAGATGGGATTAATGGGCTTATTTTCTAAAGTACACTTTAAATTTATGTTGCTGTATGATATATATATTACTTTGGTTGTAGTGAGTGGTTTCATATGGAAACTATATATACATATTTTGCAAGCTATTAGTAGGACTGATTGACAATAAATTTGATCGTGCACTATACGGCTGTTATTTTAAATTTTAAATATCTTTTTTGAATATCCTTTGATAAAAACCGGGATTTAAAACAGCATAAATGCACGTTCATATATCTCTATATCAGCTCCACTAGTTAAAAGGACTGTTATCAGCCCGAGAGAGTGGCACTCACATGGTTAATTCTGCTTGTTTATACATAGATGGTGTCAACCAATTATATGATGACACGTCAATTTGGGGACGTGGCCTGTTTGGACTCCACTTTTGGCGCGAACAGAGTGCACACACCCCCTTCATCTAGTGGCGTCATCAGGCTATAAAATAGCCTCTGTTGCATGCGGATTTCTGTTTAGCCTCGGAAGAAGGCAAGTTCAGTAGCGCCGAAACACGTGTCAGACAATAGGCAGTGAGACTAGATGGACGTCAGTATTCAGACCACTCTAGGTTTTGACGGTTAGTCAGATAGGATTTTTTCACTTCAGCTGCTCCCATTTCGTTACTCCAGCGAGGGTTGTGGGTGATTGGAATAAGGGGGGGCGGGGGTTTGCCATTTGATATTTATTTAACTGCTACTTCTGATTCAACATTAGGGGATACTTTATTTCTCGTTCCCCAATGTGCGCCTAGATTACAGCTGAGCAAGATTTCACTTTTGATACATTGGATACAATGTATCATCTCATCAGTGATCATACACCAGCTGACTAGCACAGTTTATTTAACAAGTAGCAGATTTTGTTCTTTAGTTTTCTTTTCATTTTCAAAAATATCCCCGCCTACGTACAGCATTATTTGGCTTTTTTAGCCTTGTAGGTTTTTCCTAAGTGACTTTTAGTGGATATCTGTGAGGGCTAGTATCTATCTACCTCTATAGATGCCACTATTGATATTTATAACTAAGGCATGAGTACTGCATTGGGATCCCCTTTTTTTCTTACAGATTAGATTCATTCCAGAGACCTTCTTATTAGGGTATATATCCCAATCAGGATATATTATTATTTCCTTTATTTACCTATCTAGTCTCTTTTTAACAATATTTTGTTTGTGTTTTTTCTTGATGAGTATTTTATTACTATTATTAAAAGTTATGTTTTATATTTATAGAGTCTAACTGAGGGGCTTCCTACTTTGACCCTTAGGGTCTTTTCCTTTTTTTGCACAATCATATGTGAGGGTTACCCCCTGTTATGGTTGCCCCTGACACACACCTAGCAGGTTCCCTTAGGGGTTTCTAGCTCTTTTGTTTTCTTCAAATATATAGTTTAGCAAGGTTAACAGTTAACCATTAATGGCTGATTGCCCTATCACTCTATAACATTTCACAGCACTTCTGGTGAAGCCCAATAAAATGGGACAAAGTGCTCACAGCATGTTGGAAAGTAGTCAACAAAACAACAGGGACAGCTATGTATAATGAATCAAATAAAAGTCATTTCTGAATTTAAAAGGAAATGGTGGGATTTATTTACTAAACAATGAATTGTAGTAAATTATGGAGAATTTAAAATCTGTAAATTCGCACAAAGGCAAAAATAGTGGCGTACCGTGTTAAAAATCAAATTGTTTTTTTTTCTTAAAAGTTGGAATGATAATAAAATAATTGCAAATGAGCCCACTTTTCTGATTGCTGCATTTAAGGATACCAAATTAAAGAGTTATCCACTAAACAGCTGAAAGATCAATATTAAGAAAAGCCCTTTCAAGAATGTTGTTCTTTCATCTCTAACTTGCAATCCTTATTAAATTGACTGAATCATAAAGGAATTGTTTCGATTTGATGCAGATGCTTTTGTTTTAATTTTGTCCTTTTTTTAGCGATTTGGAAATTTGGACTCTTCCGAATTGCAAAATATGGATGAATTTGGACAATTTTGATTTGGAACAAATCTTCGATACTTGCTCCTCTTGTACACCAAACCTTGCTAGAAATTAATTCACAATTTAATGAGATTTTCTGAAGGTTTTTAAGATACAGTTTAAATAACTGTGTTTTATTTTCATTTATTTATTATTTTAGTCAAAATAGAGTTGCTTACAAGGATACTTCACTTCCAAAATAAAAAATATATTTTTTTCTGTAAAACACTGTTTAGTACATATACCCCCAATGAAAACATGCATGTATTTTTTTTAATTGAGGATATATCTACAAACAGTTTACAAAAGCTGCATATCTCTTGCCTGCTGCCTTCCCCTTCTTCCCCAGCCCAGTCCTTATGTTCCTGCCCAATCACAGACCAATGCAGCTCAATGATAAGTCTTTGCAAGGCAAGTGCTCTGGGCAATTGCTGATTCTCTTGATTGTACCTCCACTGAGCTACCCAAACCAGGAAGCAAAATGACCTATTGCCAGCTTTAAAGCCAGGGGGTGCAACAATCTTAATTTATATAAGTTCCAATTGCTATTGCAATCTGCACTTTTTAAAAATTAAAAAGGAGACATACCGGTATTCATCACATAAAAAACAGTAAGCTGAAGTGCTTTAGTGGCCTGGTGTGTTCCTTTAAGTCTCTCCCAAGCCAATTATTCCATCCAATATTTCCACTTTAATATGTTATTTCTTTCTTGCATAGCAGTAAAATCCGTCAAAGCTACTAGAAAATCTGTGGCAATACTTTCTCTAATAGATCAATATGAATACACTCCAGGCTGACAATTCCAGGCAGTAAGAACACATTAAATCACTATTAACAGGGATAATTTAAAACACAAATTCAATTGTATTTACTTTTCCATCTAACTGTTTCTCCTCATTATAGTTTACTTGTTCCATATCCCTCACTATTTCACAATTATTTCGAAATTAATGATAAATGATCTGGGGACCCAGGGGAAACATTTGGGAAATGTATTCACTAAACCATGGATTAGAGTGAATTGGAAACAGAAATGAAAAATGTAAGTAAAAATAGCCAAGTTCTAACTATATCCGAATTGGGGTCTTTTTCCTCATTGGTTATTTTTGCCCTTAAAGGAACACTCCAAGTACAATTACCATGTGCGCACACTGTAATGGCTACAATACCAGGAGAGCCTTGGTGCCTCCCTTGTGTAAGTAATTAGTTAGCCAATTGTTTGATTTCTTACCTGAGGCCTGCCTAGCACCATTCCCTGCCTCAAGAGGAACTGTAAGCTCTTAACTCTGGTTTAAGCCAGGAGGTACAGAGCTTAGCTCATAATCCTAGAGTGATCAGTGCCGGGAGTCGCTCCCCACCTCTCTGCAGCCTCCAGGAGAGCCAAAAGAACCTACTAGGACCTTCTGTTAGCTGTCCTGAGCACTGGCGTACATACCACATTCACAGGGGTCGCAGCTGCGACCGGGCCCGTCACTGCAGGGGGCCCAGCCACCCTGCAACTGGGTACCCGCCACCATGTTCTGCGGCCCCGGCCTGCGCAGCAAACCGTCGGGGAAGCACATGAAGGGGCCCATCAGGTGGCCCATGCTGTTAGGGCCACCTGATGGATATGGATTTTCAGGGGGCCCGGTCAGCGCTGCCGCGCTTTAACAGCACAATCTGCCCCCTGTGATGACATCAGACAGAGCTGGGAGGAAGTGACTGCCCCGGTCACTCCTCCCAGCTATCAGAGAGCCACGCGGGAGGAAGAAGGAGGGATTCAGAGTGGGAACTCTGACTCACATCAGGCTGAGCCACCACTGGACCCCAGGGAAAGTCACCCTCCTGCAAAAGATAGGAAACAGGAGGGTGACTTAAACATTTTGTATATGCATGTGTGTGTCTGTCTGTGTGCATGTGTGTGTCTCTGTATGTATGTGTCTGTATCATACAGACACATACATACAGAGACACACACACATACAGACACATACATACAGAGACACACACACACACATGCGGGCACATACAGACAGACAGACTGTCTGTGTTTGTGTATGTGTGTGTATGTGTCCCTGTATGTGTGTGTGTGTGTATGTCTGTCGGGAGCGGGTGTATGTGTGTGTCTGTCTCTATGTATCTGTCTGTATGTGTGTGTGTATGTGTCTCTGTATTAGTGTATGTGTGTGTATGTGTCTCTGTATTAGTGTATGTGTCTGTGTGTATGTGTGTCTGTGTGTATGTCTGTGTCTGTATGTATGTGTCTGGGGGGGCATATCGGGTGAGGGGGAGCCACGGATCAGTTTCGCACCTGGGCCCCTTGGATTGTGTGTACTCCACTGGTCCTGAGCCATGCCCTCAAGTGATGATAGCATCAGCTGATTTCTGTAAAGAACAATGTACACAAGAGGGTGTGTGAGCCATGGCTCCCCTGGCACCAGAACCAGTACAGCACACTGTACGGGTTAGGGTGCTTGGAGTGTTCATTTATTCTACGTGTGTTAGAGGCCTTTAGCTGTCTGTCTGTCTGACCGCTACAACTAAGCGTGAAAACATAACAGATGCTGTTTCTCAGTAACAACATTTGTTTTTATTTGAAAGGCTACGGGGCAGCATCTATGTTCCAAAATCGCTTCATTAAGATTAGATGATCTTGCTTAGATTGTCCCTTAAAGGGAACCTATCAAGGTCAAAACTATTTTAACTCTTTGAAAAAGAACTTCCATTTTTAGTTACATTGTATACCTCTGGAGAAAAAAATATCTGTCTCTTAATTCCTGGGCAGACACTAAATGCTGAGGAATTGAGAGACAGGAAAAGCAGAAAAGTCACTCTGCTCTCCATCCTTAGCAACCACAGAGCATTTGCTGTGGTTGCTATGACAACCCCCTAGCCGGTGTTGCTGGCACTGGCTGGGTTGTTTAGGAATGGAGTGATATGACGTGATGTCACTGTGTTCAGAAGCAGGTACACTGGCAGCAAAGCTAGCATGTCGGTGTCATGGAACAGGTTTGCTCTGCTTTGGGAAAAAAAAACATCAAAGAGTAGAGTAGAGGCATGGCAGGAGAGAGTGTAACAACCACATCTGTACTGAGATCGCGGCAGGGGAGCGGAGGGCCAGGTAAGTGGTGACACTACTAGTTTCCCTTTAAAAAGTCTATTCAAGGGCTTCAGCAGTGTTCAGCATATGGGCAGCCAGTTTTCGTGACACACAGGTGATGCTACTTGCGCCACTAAAATGCCTTCCCGCTGTCCCCTCCCTGCCTACCACTCTCCCAATTTCAGACCTACCAAACCATAACAAACGATTTGTGACCGACTTCCAGCCGCACAGCACTTTAGATATAACCCTAAGAAAATGATGTCTTACTTTTCAATTCCAAATGTTTAAGAACAACCTTTACCAAAATGCTCAGCTATTTGACTGGCTCTCTCAGCATCACTATTTGGTTCTTGTTTGAGAGACTTCTGCCCCAGCTCTCATTAGAGGAACACGATAGAGTTAGGAATACAAACCTGTATTGCTAATGCTATAGCATCACTGTCTAGAGAGTCCCCCACCACTTTGCCATAAAATGAATAAAAAAAGATTTTTAATCACCTTTCTCCAGCATTGACTCCCTCAGCACTGCTCACCTATCCATCTCCTGCAATGTCATCGAGGAGATATTGCCTCTCCTGGCAATGGCCCAATCCAATGTTCCTCATAGATGAGTATTGGGGACCTGATGTGTAGGTTAATGCACATGAGCTGCTGCATCACTTGTCCAAGTTTTACTTGGTCACTGCAGTTGAAGTGCCTCTAATGGCTGTTAGTATGATAATCAATTTTAATATTGCTCTTTTTGCAAAACGGCAATGTTTCACCTTGCAGGGTCAAACATACAGGACCACTGCATGCAGGGTGACTGTAGTGTTCTTTCAAATATATATATATATATAGTTGCAGAAGGCTTTGATCTTTGAGATACCTATAAATGAGCATTCTGCTGTCTGCCACAAATAGGTTTAATAACTAATACTCCACATACCCACCAGCTTATTTAAAGTGCCCAGTCACTCTACAGCGAGATCTGAGACACGTATGTTGTGGCTAGTTGAAACGTTGTGAAGCCTCGAACTGAGGCTGTGACTCTGAGGACTGATCTGCTTCTGATTTTAATCTGTTTTAATCTGTAATGATTGTCGATTCTGTTTACCCTGTCAGTTACCTCTTGTCTCGATATTACCACTGCAGATTAATTTTATTGCCAGCTGCAAAAGTAAAAAGGAGTCTATCAATATCTTGATATTTTAACCCTGTGTACGCTGTGCTGAACCCAACTCTGTGTATTCTATCTCTAATTTTTTTTATTCTCAGATCTGTTTGTGGTATGGTAATCTCTGCATTGACCCATGTTGTCTACTTCTACCTGATGGTAGGCAACAAAACTATCGAAATCCTGATATCCTGATATAAAATTTTTTCACTCATTAGTACATTTAAAAAAAATATATATCTTTAATTTAGTTCTTGATTAGCAAAGACAAATTCTTCGAAACAAAATTACAGATCTCACGTGTAAATGTAACAGCAGTGCTCTGTCGAATGTAGCAAAATATGGCAAGATGTTAATACAGTAGTGGATGATACCAATTAAAATAATTCATATTTATTTTCTTGTTCGTGTTTTGCTTCCTTTATTCGATTCTTGTGTTTTATTTTCAGACCTTAGATGACTTTTACAGCAGGAATAGTTCACACCTCTTTCAATCCCTCCATTTTTCACTGTAGCTGGACCCCATGCCTAACGCAGAATGGTATGCTCTGTTGAAATGCCTGTGCTGAGTAACTGTGTAGGGGCTCATTCACAGAGAGCACACACAGGGGAAGGACCTGCACAGGATTGCTGTAGGTCTGATCTCTGCAAATGGTTCTAAAAATTCCTCTCCGGAGATCTCTCAGCCTAAGCCCTGAACATCAGCCTTCTACAGGTCCAGCAGAGATGACTGGACCCACTGCACTAAAAATGGAAGCTAATATTTTGGTCCTTGGTGCAGATGGGGTAGGTAAATCAGGTGAGTGATCATTTACCCTTCCCAAAAATGTTTATGCCTCTATACTCTAACTATGTAAAATCCAGCTTTGATACATAGAAAAAGGATGTAGTTTGAAATAGCCAGCACACATTAATACATACACCTGGCCAAATATTCCTGTATTACAGACCAGTCATCCATCCCATTGTGCTTGACTTCTGACTATGTTAGTGCTATATAACTGATTGTGATAATAACTGTATTTAACATATTGCCAACCATTTATCATTTAGACATTTTCTCAATACTAAAGCTACTCTAAAATGACTTTCCTCAGTCTGGCTGAGCATGGTGTGAGTTGTAAAACATTATGGTATGCAAAAGAAATGGGACTGCTATGTGTACTATGTACTTGGCTGGACAGGAGGATTGTTGTTACTGTATGGTGATAATTATAGGAATGATTCAAATTGCTGCCAACACTTGTTGATCTCATGGTTGCATTACTTGGTTCGCAAATTTTTTTTAACCTCTTTTTTTTTTTTTACCTTCTTTTTCAGCTTTAACTGTTCGCTTTTTAACTAGACGGTTTATTGGCGAATATGGGGAACTTGGTGAGTATAAACAAAATATAATGTAATTTGCAGTCAAATTGCTATTATACATAACATGGTCTCTCCAGCTATGTTATACTGTGGGTTGAGTCACATCAGCCCAGCAGCACAGGGAGACTGTATGGCTTTATTTCTCTGTTGATTTAGTTAGACATAATTTATTCTGCAATTACAGTGGGGTTACACATGTCGGGGATCAAATACTGCATTTATGCAATAAGGAAAGACAGCCAGTTTGAAGCATAATCTCTAATTCTGCAAAATTCTTATTTTTATTCTATTTTTATCAATGTTTTGCAAGTCAGTTCCCAAGACACCACAACTCTCTTTCAGTGAATATGTCCCAAAAGATCGTTATTTACTTTGGTTCTTGGAAAATCCAATGCAAAAAATGCACCGTATGTATTAGTTAATTGTATTATGACTAATACAATCACAATATTATTAAAATAATGTGCAGATTTTCACGCACTTGCCTCTGTTTTACACAGGAACATTTCAGAAGCAATACCGCAGAGATAAAATGTATAGTTACCAAAATTATAAAACTTCTACTTTTATTTGGAATTTGACCAATTATCCATGTGGTAGTTGTACTAAAGGCATACTATCGTTCTCTCTGCTCACCCTCCCACTAGGCACAGAAAGGATTAAAAAAAAACATTTTGACACTTACCTGATTCCAGCGTTGATGTCCCTCGGCGCTGGGTCAGTGCTCCGTCTCATCCGAGGGTGGGGGCCTAATGCGCATTGGATCAATTCTTTTCTATGGGGATTTCACTGATGTTGGACGTCCTCATGCAGAGTGTGGGTATCTCCAGCGTCAGTTAGGCCACCTAAAGTCTAGTGAAATCCTGGAAGCGCCTCTAGTGGCTGTCTGGTAGGCCGCCACTTGAGGCAGTCTAGGTACTGCAATGTATTTATTGCAGTTTTTCAAAAACTGCAGTGATTTACATTGCATGACTAAGTGAGACAAGGACACAGCATCCAGACAACTTTAATGAACTGAAGTGGTCTGAGTGCCTATAGTGTCCCTTTAAGCTACGCTTAGGAGCTGGTTAAATTCTGGAATCTTAAGGTGCTGTTGCTTAGAAGGCATAGGTTTTATGTAGGGTAGTGTATACCAACATTTTTAGTGAGTAGGCCTCACTCTATAACGATAATTATTGAAGAGTATTGTAACCATACTTTACAGTTTTAGGGGCTGTCACTTATCTTACTGAAACCTTACAGGGTTATTCACTAAAATGAGAAATGCCAAGAATTCAAAGTCAATTCCCAATTTAAGGCAAAGGTAGCCTTAAATTTTAAATTCACTAAATTCCTTACTTTATTGAATAACCCTGTAAGAGTCTAATTGCATTTTTGTTTAAAATTAATGTTTAAACCAACGTGTCTTCCCTGTTACTGTAAAGGGACTATGAAAGGTATAGCGGTTATATGATTCCATAGTATGGTGCTGGAAAAGTATACATCCACGGTTCTTTCTTACTTTTGTCTAAATGGCCTTCTGTCTGTCAGTATGATGAATCTGTTTTGCGGGTTCACTTGTGGATGAAAGGGAACCAAAATCATAACAGAAGCCGTCTTAAGTGAATACTTTTGATGCGCTCACAAAAGATTGCATGCATACGTCAACATAACGTATAAAGAATTTTACACATTTTGAGCCTTACAAGCATTGTTAATATCTGTTGGAATTTAGTTTCTTCTCTGTGTATAGCCCAACTGTTCATGATAATGTGGTCTATATAACCAATGTTAAGTGCGCACGTGCGTGTGTATTTAATCCTACCATCAACGTTTCCATGCTCAGAACAATGCCCACTACCTTAATTGTCAGAAATAGGGGTTTATTCACTATTTAAAAATGTATACAAAAATCCAGATTTGGTATTACAAATTTTTTTTAAAATGGGCGGAGCTGATATAAAGTTTCATTTCTGTTGCTAAGCTAATTTACTCACAATCCATTAGTCAAAAGAATGCCACAGAAGAACAAACTGCAGTCTTCAAGGGTAGAAAAGAACAAAATGGAGGAGTCCTGGTATTGAAATCTGGCTCAATAAAGGAAATATAGTTATTAGAAATAAAAGCATGTGACAATGAAGGAGTATAACAATTAGGATACAAGGGACATAAAGAAAGGAAAACTGAAAGAAAGAAAAAACCATGTCAGTGGCACTTTGACTAGAATTTGGTGTTTACTGAATTAACCTCAGTATAAATTATTTGCAGCATCATAGTAACATGATATATAATAAAGTTTTGGAATTGTTACTGTACCATTGCCAGAAACCATTACTGACATCATAGTGTTAAATGAACTGTACCCATCATTCATGGCATTTTATATTAATGTCATAATACCGCTATTTTTAGACAATGAAGTTCAGGCAATTTAAAGATGATATCTAATTAACTTAGGCACTGGAAGATAACATAATTTATCCAGGTTCCAAATGGAAACCGACAGCCATCCTAATGAAATAAAGCCAGTCTTTTAAAGTGATCAAAAGCAGATGTAGCCTATGATGCAGCTAAATTCTTGGATGGGACCACAACATGTTGACAAATATTATATATGTGTTTCACTGTTAAGTTTATAAAAGCAAGAACCACACACTTTTTTTTTAAATGTTATTTATTATTTATTTATTTATTTTTGGGCTAATCACTTATTTACATTGGGATATATTCACTCAATTGTGAGTCTTAGTGTGAAAATAAATATTTAAAAAGCTGACTTTGAAAAGATCTCCAAATTCTGCAGATTCATAACAACTCACTGTTGAAAAAGCCCATAATTAATTGTTAGTTTAGATAAGGGGCTTCCTTAAATGGACAATACAGGCACCAAAACAACCTAATCTAAATTAAGTTGTGATGGTGCCAAGAGGCCTCTGGAGCACTGTTCGAGAACACTTTAACTGTGGTAAGTGCCTCCAGAGGCCACCTGGCACCATAACAACTTAGTTTAGATTAAGTTGTTTTGGTGCCTGAAATGTTCCTATATTTTCTAGGTGATGGCAGACTATATTTCCCTAATGCCCTATCAGTGGTTTGCTGTGATGATTTTGATGCAACAAGAAATTGCGACTAAGTCTGACTACTCTACTACTTTTTTTTTTCTTGCAGAATCTATATATAGCCATAATGTAACTGTGGATGGAAAGGAAGTACTATTTAATATTTGGGATTATCCATATTCAAAGGTGAGTGTTTTTTACATAATTGCCAAATTTTAAAGACCAAGGCTTTTGATTAACATACTGTTTGATAGAAACATAGAATGTGACGGCAGATAAGAACCATTCGGCCCATCTAATCTGCCCAATTTTTTAAATACTTTAATGCTCCCTGGCCTTATCTTATAGTTAGGATAGCCTTATGCATATCCCACACATTCTTAAATTGGGTCTGCTCATGTCAATTGCTAGAATCTTGTGCTTTATTTAGTTTATATACACAAGAAGCACAAAGCAAGATACGTTTTGCAATAGTAAGTCTGTATCTGTTCGAAGGTTGAGCTACACAGCATGATTTAACATGACAAACACATTCTAAAATGAACAAAACACTATCATATCATTAACTCACTGTATGTGTTGTAAAATGTGTATCTTGGTCTGGCCATAATTTGCATACATTGTAATTATTGCATCCTCAAAGCCAACGTTAAAACATGAAATCAGCTTTGGTTGTTGGAAAGGGGAAAGTTGTTTACATTTAATAAGGCCCCTGTTTATCCTGCATACCACCATTGCATCACTTCTTCTTACTTTGGATGGCAAAATAACATTTTCCTTCCTTAAAGAAACTGATGTATACCTGCATACGATGCAAGCTGGGACTTGTATTTTTTCGTTCTATTAAAAAAGGAACAGCTTTTATGCAACACCCAGCATGTATGTTCGTGCGAGCATTGACGAGGAAATAAGAACATAATTGATACAATCAGTTATATAACACGAGTGTATTTTTTCTCTAAGAGCTGCCCAAATTATATACTTAACCACTGACTGCATAAATTGTCACATTTGTGTTAATACATCTATTTAGCCATAATCACTGACTTTGTTAGTTCCAAAGAAAACTACTTTTTTAAGATAAAGGTTTTAAGCTGCTGTCCTATAAAGATTTTGCATTTTTATTATTGTCTATATTTATATCCTTCTGTATCTATTAGAATACAATGCTGTATTTAGTTTGTGGTTACACAAACTTTAAAACATTTAGTTCCTGGTTACACAAATGTATTGTGCTTTGTCATTCAGAGGTGTGATGCAGGATATTCAAAGGTACTGAAGAGAGAGCATTGTGAGTGAATGAGGTACTGATCTGTTTAGCCTCTTTTGTGGACATTTACTTATTTGTAAGGGGGACCACGCACACCTGTTTAGAAGAGGGGTCAGTGAACTCACATTAAACTAAAACTGAGTTTTCAGTACTATAATGATTGTGTTGATGTTTGAATGCTGGAATGTATGTACATGTCCACAGATACACATTCTCACTGAGATACAGACATACACACACACACACACACACAGTGACATCCACAGTCACATATACCTATACATACACACACTTTGCAATTTAAATATTTTTAGCCATTCCTCTGCTTCTGTACCTTTTGGGTGCAGGAGGGTGCCTTCCCTGGGCTCCAGTGGGATCTGGCTGAGCCTGAAGGGAGCCTGAGGCTGTCCAGGATCTCTGTTTGCTTTTTCTCCTCTGTGCCTCCTTAGGCCCCCGAGGTCTGCAAGCTGGGAGGAAGTGACTAGTAGTCACTTCCTCCCAGCACTGCCGATACTATAGGAAACTGGTCACGTTGTTAAAGGGCTGCAGCACCCAACCAGGGCCCTTCTTAGACCTGCCGCTCAGGTTTGCCCTTCGTTTGACTACCAGATGGGCCCCCAATGCCAGCAGGGCCTGGTGTAGCCACACCGGTGGTAGTACAGCCGCTGGTACCCGTCTATGCCAACAGGTGGAAGGGACAGCTGCTATGGACCCCTGTAAATTATGGGGCCCATGGCAATTGCCTCTTTTGGCCTGCGGTAAAGACAACTCTGCCTGACTGTCTCACACAGAATAATATTTTATCTGTATATTTGCCACCAATGTGGCTACAACACTTACAACTAAAAATGTATTTTTATAAAGATCATTTTATGATAACTCTCTTGAAAACCATTGGCCTGTATAGTCTTTCCTGCTCCTATGCAGGGAGTGAAGCAGAGAAACCCATAGAGATTAAATTACTGTTTTCAAACATTGTCTGACCCAAGGTATAGCTATACAGGGAGTGCAGAATTATTAGGCAAGTTGTATTTTTGAGGATTAATTTTATTATTGAACAACAACCATGTTCTCAATGAACCCAAAAACTCATTAATATCAAAGCTGAATATTTTTGGAAGTAGTTTTTAGTTTGTTTTTAGTTATAGCTATGTTAGGGGGATATCTGTGTGTGCAGGTGACTATTACTGTGCATAATTATTAGGCAACTTAACAAAAAACAAATATATACCCATTTCAATTATTTATTATTACCAGTGAAACCAATATAACATCTCAACATTCACAAATATACATTTCTGACATTCAAAAACAAAACAAAAACAAATCAGTGACCAATGTAGCCACCTTTCTTTGCAAGGACACTCAAAAGCCTGCCATCCATGGATTCTGTCAGTGTTTTGATCTGTTCACCATCAACATTGCGTGCAGCAGCAACCACAGCCTCCCAGACACTGTTCAGAGAGGTGTACTGTTTTCCCTCCTTGTAAATCTCACATTTGATGATGGACCACAGGTTCTCAATGGGGTTCAGATCAGGTGAACAAGGAGGCCATGTCATTAGATTTCCTTCTTTTATACCCTTTCTTGCCAGCCACGCTGTGGAGTACTTGGACGCGTGTGATGGAGCATTGTCCTGCATGAAAATCATGTTTTTCTTGAAGGATGCAGACTTCTTCCTGTACCACTGCTTGAAGAAGGTGTCTTCCAGGAACTGGCAGTAGGACTGGGAGTTGAGCTTGACTCCATCCTCAACCCGAAAAGGCCCCACAAGCTCATCTTTGATGATACCAGCCCAAACCAGTACTCCACCTCCACCTTGCTGGCGTCTGAGTCGGACTGGAGCTCTCTGCCCTTTACCAATCCAGCCACGGGCCCATCCATCTGGCCCATCAAGACTCACTCTCATTTCATCAGTCCATAAAACCTTAGAAAAATCAGTCTTGAGATATTTCTTGGCCCAGTCTTGAAGTTTCAGCTTGTGTGTCTTGTTCAGTGGTGGTCGTCTTTCAGCCTTTCTTACCTTGGCCATGTCTCTGAGTATTGCACACCTTGTGCTTTTGGGCACTCCAGTGATGTTGCAGCTCTGAAATATGGCCAAACTGGTGGCAAGTGGCATCGTGGCAGCTGCACGCTTGACTTTTCTCAGTTCATGGGCAGTTATTTTGCGCCTTGGTTTTTCCACACGCTTCTTGCGACCCTGTTGACTATTTTGAATGAAACGCTTGATTGTTCGATGATCACGCTTCAGAAGCTTTGCAATTTTAAGAGTGCTGCATCCCTCTGCAAGATATCTCACTATTTTTGACTTTTCTGAGCCTGTCAAGTCCTTCTTTTGACCCATTTTGCCAAAGGAAAGGAAGTTGCCTAATAATTATGCACACCTGATATAGGGTGTTGATGTCATTAGACCACACCCCTTCTCATTACAGAGATGCACATCACCTAATATGCTTAATTGGTAGTAGGCTTTCGAGCCTATACAGCTTGGAGTAAGACAACATGCATAAAGAGGATGATGTGGTCAAAATACTCATTTGCCTAATAATTCTGCACTCCCTGTATGGCTGAAAGATCCTTTCCTATACTGAAGATGGGGATAAGTTTTTCCTACTTTTGTTTACATAAACTTCCTTTTAAAAAAAAACAACTAAACTATTTCCTTTAAAATTTACTTAATGAATTCTATAAAAAAAAATGCTTTAAGGCGACAGTTGTCCTTTATGATGTTTTTTTATGTATTGTAAATTTCAGGACTGTTGTTAACTTTACTTCTGAGAACTATATACCTGTATCAGAACGTGCTTAAAATCCATTTTTATGAATGATATGGTAAATGAAAAGAAAAATATGCTTTTGGGATGAAAGGAGAATGTGATCTTAAGATCAGTAGTGTACTTCAGTGCTTTAGCAGCTCGACTGGCCCCCTTCTAGTCCGCTGGCAGGAAGTGAGAGCCGGTTACTTCTTCCCAGCTGATATAGATACAGCCAGGGGGCCAGCACGGGAGAGGAGCAAGCCTCCAACTCCAAACAGCCCCAGGCAGTGGAAGCCACCCCCTCCCCCTCAGCACCACAATGGTAGGAAACTGGAGACTTGAACTTTATGTGTGTTTTGGGTGTCTGTATGTAGTGTGTATCTGTATGTGTGTCAGTGTATATGCGTGTGTGTGTGTGTGTGTTTATATATATATATGTAAGTGTGTGCATCTGTATGTCTGTTTATCTGCATGTGTGGCAGTGTTTGTGTCAATATGTGAATCAGCATGCATGTATCTGTATGTGTCAGTGTGTGTATATGTATGTGTGTGACCATGCACGTGTGTATCAGTGTGTCTGTGCAACTGTATGTGTTTCTGTGCATTTGCATGTGTCAATGTTTGTTCCTGTGTGTCAGTGTTTGTATGTATCTATCAATGTATCTGTATGTGTATCAGTGTGTATGTGTATCCATGTTTGCTTTTGTGTCAGTGTTTGTATCTGTGATTTTGTGTGTGTATTTGCATGTATGTTTGTCAGTGTTTGTATCTGTGTGTTTTGTGTGTGTGTGTGTCTATCTGCAAAGTGAAAAGCAGCAAGAGTCTGGAGAAGCAGTGGGAGCCTGAGGCAGAGGAGAAACAGGGGAAAAGCCTGTGGTAGAGGAGAAACAGGGGAGATGGGGCAGATAAAAATGTATACATTTGAAGAAAAAACAACAATATTATTAATAACATTTTGCTAATATGGGGGGTACAATTTATGTAAATGGGCTGCCAAGGGGTACGCGAGATAAAAAAAAAATGGGATCCACTGTTCTAAATTATACTGTCAGCTAACATATATGGTTTCTATAGGTCATAAATTAATTTGATGTTCTTACTAATAGTCTTCTTACTACCCTTTTGCCTCACCTCCTCAAATGAAAATGCCTGTCTGGCCATTTTAAGAAAATAAAGGTATAATTGCAGAATTAGGTTTTTCAGCTTCTCACTTGCTATTCTTGTGTTGTCTAGGATCCAACGGATGAAAGTTGCGCAGAAGAAGAAAAACGTATCCAGTGGGCCGATGGATTTGTTCTTGTGTACAGTATCTGTGACAGAGCAAGTTTCAATGTCATCTGTCAAACAATTCAGCTTATCAAGGCTGCCAAAGACTGTATAGGTCCAGAGAAGCTACCTATTGTGATTGTAGGCAACAAGCGTGATCTGCATCACTTACGCAATGTATCAAGCGAGGAAGGGAGGCTTCTGGCCCTGTCTATGGACTGCGACTTTTATGAGGTTTCAGCAGCCGAAGCTTATCATGGTGTTTTGATGGTTTTCCATGGCTTGGTGGACAAGATTAAAGAGTCAAAGCTTGTTACAAAGAGAGGAACAGGAATACGAGGTATCGTAAAGAGCATGTCAGCTGTGTTTGCCAGGAGAAGAACAGACTCTCTCTAATATCTAAAAAAATTGGCTTGCCATTGTTGATGCGAAACACAAGTTTAACATTTGGGATCTGTGACTTTATATTGCAAAATTCTGTCTAAGTGGATCTTACTTCTATGCCATTTGGATATGTATATAGTGCTACACCTAGATACCTGTGTCTGTATAGTCTTCAGTTCACTACACTGATCATTAAAGTTCTTCTTTCGTGGTGCATTAGTTAAATACATTTTTTGTGATTCCACTTAAAAACTGCCACAAGTGCTTTATTATTGTAAAATATTTCCATTTTCATTGTTCTGTTTTGACCAGTGATTGTGTTCCTGACACTATAGTGTTTTTAAGGTGGTTCCATATTAAAATAAAATACCTATGTATTCCTTGCACTCAATGCAAGTGAAAAATGTAAATAAAATGAAAGATTTTTTGTTTTAGAATGTGCCATTACCTCCAAAGTGACCGCACACTGTAACATCTTTGTCCTATACATGACTACTAAAATTATTTCTGCAAAACAATCACAGTTTGTATTTTCTAATCAACAAGAAAGGAGAATGTTTGCTCTTAATTTTCCAATGTACTGTGCAATCCCTTCTGCACGTTCATTTCCATTGTGATTTAGCGTGTACATTAATGTAAAATATGTACATATTTGCTTGTATATTTGTAAGTTGTTTTATGTCCCTCCACTTAACATGAGCAAACATAGTTGTTTTGCTTAGTGAGCTTTTTTGGGGTGCATCTGTAAATAATGACATAAACACGTCTGTATTAAAGTTGTATGTATGAGTTATTCAGTAGAAAAATAAATGTTCTCAGTAAATTCCTGTAATACGTTTCTTTGTCATATGATGTTCTGCTAGCTTGACTTAGTGCTTGTATTTATTCCTTTTTATTGAAGGTATACTTCATTTTAACTAACCTTGGACTTGTGCACTACTGTTTCTTCCACATTATAGTCCATGTCTTAGGCACAACAGGGCGGCCCGTCCATAGACCACGGTGGAGCCACAGCTTCAGGCAGCACACTGACAGGGGCAGCATTTTGCCACCCCTGTCATCATCTAAAACAAGAGTTCCCAACCCATTACGGCGGTGCAAGTGCACCGCACGCAGGGCTGCCATCAGAAATTTTGGGGCCCCTGACACAGCTCAAGGTCTGGGCCCCCCGGTGCCTGCACCTGAGTCCGCCCAAAGTGCTGCCCCCCCCGAATCCGCCCACAGGGATGCAGTGTCTGCAGGGCCGGTGCAAGGATTTTTGCCACCCTAGGCAAAAGTAAAGTTTGCCGCCCCCCATGTGACATCACAATGCCCCACCCATATGATCTGCCATGTTAACTAACACTAGTGCTGCAGTGCCGCCTGTTTACATTAAAAGGCCTGCAGGGACAGGCTAGACACCAGAACCACTACATTAAGCTGCAGTGGTTCTGGGGACTATAGTGTCCCTTTAATGTGAGGTAAATTAGAGATTAGTGCCACGAATAATATACTAGATTGCCTACTTACAACCAGATGAGGATGATGATGGGCTCTAGCTGCCGTCTGGCTCCACTGGTCTGGTGTACAACAGGCTCTCTGGAGGCGGTTTGTAACTGTGGTCACAAAAATCACTGTTCTGGGAGAACGGGAAGCAGCTCCATTTTTTGAGGGCCCTTTACACAGCTCAAGGTCTGGGTCCCAGGGTCCACCTTCATGTTCCACCAATGAGTTTGTTCACAGGGGGTGGAGTGTGTGTGTGGGGGATGTCCTGATGTGTGTAAGGAATGCATTGTGTGAATCTGTGTTTGTATGTGTAAGAGCTGCAAGGTGAATTTGTGTATGTATGGGATGCAGTGTGTGCGTCTGTAAGGGATGCATTGAGTGTGTGTAAGGGATGCATTGTGTGTTGCTGTGTGTAACCGATGCATTGCTTGTGTATGTGTGTCTGTGTGTAATGCATTGTGTGTTTTTCTGTGTGCAAGGGGTGCATTGTGTGTGTGTATGATGGATGTCAATCTCTCCCCCTCCTCCCCGTCAATTTCCTTCTCCCCCTCCCCCCGTCAATTTCCTTCTCCCCCCCTCCAATTTCCTTCTCCCCCTCCGTCCCTCCAATTTCATTCTTCTCCCCCTCTT